AGGACTCGGCGCTCAAAGCGCTCTCCAAAGCCATGCGTTGGCGGATGTCTTACGGCGTGAACGACATCACAGACCAGTCCTCAGGAGAAGAGATGTATCGGACGGACGAATACAGTCAGTACTGTCGCGACCGGGAGGGCCGGCCTGTCATCTGGTCGCGGGTCGTACGCCATCACAAGTGCGGCTCCGGTGGCGGCGATTGGGATCAGCTCTTCAAACGATTTGTTGTCTATCAGTTTGAACGCGTGGACAGGTAGTCAGAGCTCTTATTTAATTGTTTATGTAAATTATGCACTTTTGATATTTTAACTGTTGTGGACAAATTATCCATGATAAATTATAATAATAATATTAGTTTATAATAAATTGTATTTATAGTAGTATCGATTCCGAGTCCATAGCCGTCCACATAAGAGCTCGTCGTATTTGCCTTATATTATTATAAATACATTAATGACTTTTTAGATGTTTTTGTAAATTAGATTTGTATGAAAAACTGTGATTACAATCATTAAAATGACAAACAAATGGCTTTTCTTTTAAATGTATGATTTTGTGTTGATTTAAATTTGATTTTGTGTTGAATTTTTTGCCACAATTATTTTCATTACATTTAAATGTTCTTCTATTCAAATGAACATAACTTTTGTGTTGAAATAAATTCTCTTTTGTTATAAAACTTTTGTGGCATTCATTGAAATCACAAATAAATCTTATATTTAAATGAATTTTATTTTTGTGTTGTTTTAATTGTGATTTACGTTTAAATATTTTTTTACAATTATTAAAATCACATTTAAATTGTTTTATTTCTGAATGAATTAATTGATGAGGAGGTAAATTCATTTTATGCTTTGTCTTGTATTGACATTTAGGCCAAAGACAGTGAAAATAACTATCATATTTGTTATCAATTGAATGATTATTTCTGTGATAAACCAATGCTTGTTTCGAAGTAAATTTTTTACCGCAATCATTAATAACACAAACATACTTTTTTAAGTTTAAATGAACTATATTTTTATGGTCAATTAAATGTTGCTTTCGGTTATAACTTTTATTACAATTATTAAAATCACATTTAAATGGTTTTATTTTGGAGTGAATTAATTGATGCCTTTTTAAATACGTTATATTGTTTGTCTTGTATTGACATTTCGGCCAAAAACAGTACAAAAATGCATTTTTATCATGCATTAAATGAACAATATTTTTATGTTTAACTAAAGATTGTTTTCTTGTAAAACTTTTGTGGCATTCATTGAAATTACATTTAAATCTCACATTTAAATGAATGTTATTTTTGTGTAATTGAAGTTTAAAATTAGAAACATAACTTTTATTACAATTATAAAAATCACATTTAAATGGTTTTATTTCTGAATGAATTAATTCATGTCTTCTCACTTCACACATCAATATTGACTTGTATTGACATTTAGGCCAAAAACAGTGAAAATAATCATCAGATTTAGTAATGATATGACAATTGTTTAGCATTTTATCACTGATTTTACATGAATTGCAATCAATTGTTTGATTGATTGAAAAATAATCATTATTTTCGCATTCAATCGCTTCACACAAAACACTATTATTTGTATTCAAAATACACTGAATTTTGTCTATTATTTCACACAAACTCTTCATTGCATTGAATTTACTCTTCATTTCAATCAACGAAACACTCATTAATTTTGAAC